ATAAATATACGCAAGAAAACAAATGTTTGTACCGTGCGAGGAAGCGAACTCGCTACCATGGGAAGTAAAACGGTGTGTTAAACCACTAGAACACCGAACCTGTCTTTTAGTTTTTCACATTATTGTGGTTTTTTTCTTTTTTTCTATACACATGGCACAATTAAAGTGAATGCAGTTTTTATAGGCGGAAAACCAGATATTGTGACGTTAATACAGTGAAATCGGTTTGAAGGTTATTTTGTTGTTTAGGCTTCAACTGTCGTTAGTAGGCTGCAGAATTTAAGATTTTGACAATGTTATCGCAGTTGGCAGGAGTTCATTATACCCATCACATATTTACAAGTGGTGCGGTAAATTTATTATAAATTAAGTAATCTTTTGACCTTTAAAACAATGGCAATCTTAATCATATTATATATGCGAATTTTTGCAAGTATGGATGTTTGTTACTCTTTCACGCAAAAATTACTGAACGGATTTTGTTGAAACTTTACAGTAGTATCAGAATAATACATAGGCTAGAAATTTCATGCGGGTGAAACCGCAAGCACAGCTAGTAGAATATAATTATGACAGGAAAAGATACAACTGTATTAGCGTAAAAGAAAGCAAATATGTTGCTGTACACAAGGTACCTATGTGCTATTTCACTGCACATAAGTACCTTGTGTACAGCAATAACTAACATATTTTTATTAATATCTTTTAGTCGTATAAAGTCTTTGTAAAATGGATCTGTCCGGATAGCTCAGCCTATTTGAGCCGCCAAGCAGCTTGCTGTTTGTGTTTGTGTTTCGGATGAACGGTGAGTCAGGTGAGGTGAGGTGATGAAATTATAGAACAAGAGGTATGATAGCTTAGTCCTCTGTAGTCTTCTTCCTTCGTTTCAATATCAACTACATGTACTTTCCCCAGAATGTTGCCTTCCGTTGTGGCAACGCATGAGTGGTATCACGAGCCTCAAATAATAACATAATGTCAGTAGAGTAGTTTATGTATATACCTATAGACAACGACCATCAGGTTTTTAGCCATTTCAATTAGGTACATAAAATATGTAACCAACAGATAGGTAGATTCACTATATAAATATACTCTGTCAATACCAGATTGTCTGTACGAGATTGGATATAGCGATAGGATCGCTTTTTGTAATACAATTTTTAATGTACTTTTATTATTGTTTTGTTATCTGTGCGCAATAAAGAGTTATTATTATTATTATAGATTCATTTCCGCTTGTGTAATTTTAGCATGGATAGATATACTCGTACATAGCATACAATATATATATAAAAGAGATTGCTATAGAAGACCGCCTTTTATATCAGTTAATGTATAGGTATTTACTATTTCAATAATTTACTGTATTTGGTGCTATAACGAGTATAAATAAAATAAGGTAAATTAAGTTATAATTAAGTTTATACATATATTTTTAATGATAATGGAATAATGCGGCGCGGCGCGGCGGGAGCCTGCGCTAATGGTTTACGCTGGCGGGGCACCAGGAGGATGTAATGATGTAGGAGGATGTAATAATGTATGATAAGATGAACGTAAGGTCAGGTCAGTTAACCCTTCGTGAGAAATTAACCAAGAATTTATCAAGATGGTTTCCAGTGGGGACTGCATGGAGATCAAACTGACATAGTCCATTGCTAGCAATGGGGTTATTATTCTGTATTACCAACAATCCCCTTTCCCCCCCTATATAGTATATTGTAATTATAGTAAACAATATAGATCAGTATGTATTCATAAATTTAAAAATCATTAGTACAGAAAGTGTAGGTATAGCGGTTCTTGCATTATTAAACGTGTAATAAACTAATGGATCAGATAACACTATTTACGTAAACATTTTAGTTTATTGCTGTGTTATAACATTTTATTATGAGTACACAAATTATGTTGAAATTGTTTAGTGTGCATCCGTTGTACAGTACACATGAGACGGAAATTATTGCAGTCAATATGGTAAGAATAATTAATCATTATCATATATATTTATTTTATTCGTATACGCTAGTCATATCTAGCCGGTTTTACCAGGTTAAAAATGGGAAAACGAAACACTTATGAACAAATAAAACGCTTATGAAAAAATATTAGAAGTTTACCTAATTCAATCATGATTTATATCTGTACTTTAGTAACTAGTTGTTGTCTGCAATTTCCTATGATTTTTTTATGTAAATGACAGTCTATATTCGTTCTCGTGATATAATCTATCTTTACTCCAAACATTAAGTTCCGACCAGACGTTTAGTCGTGTAAAGGTAATAAAGAAACAATATTAACACTTATTATATTGGATACTAGCAGTGACCACAGTTTCACCCGCGTTAAATTTCAATAAAAAATATAGCCTATCTAATGTATAAGGTACATATATTACTGTAAAGTTTCATCAAAATCCGTTCAGTAGTTTTTGGGTGAAAGAGTAACATACATCCATACTCACAAACTTTCGCGTTTATACTCGTTATGTAATAATATTCGGTAGCATAATAATACAATATTATTATACGTTGACGACTATTATTCCAGAAGGGGGTAGTCACAAGGAATGTCAACTGTCGATATTGTAGTGAACGCAACATTTGCCATGCCAACATTTCGCTAGGTATATTTTAAACCCAACATGGACGGGACAAACCTACCGCTGTCACTCGTATTAATTTAATATTTCATATTGGTGTTCCCTTCACCGGAGAGTTAGTCAAATATATAAACTGATAAACAAATCTGGCTGACACCAAAATCATAACAAACCATTTTTTTTGTTTTCGGTTAGTTTTGAACTCTCGACCTCTTGGGCGTAATTCATGGTAGTAAATCACTGGGCTACGACGCGACGCTCAGTATATTTATAGCAATATAACTTCTGTAATCGCATATCACCGAGACGAAATAATTCAATATTTAATTTAAGAATTCAATCTAACTTAAGTACATACATATTATATTTACTTTTAATATTTTATGGTTTTCACAGGCAAATACAATAATAAGTACTGCATATAATATTATACGCATATAGATTTGTTTCAAGTGTAAAACCTTTAACGTGTATATTATGAGAATAAACGTATCTCATTTCATTACCTGTCATTTTGGCGCGTTGCTATTTCCTTTGCCTTTCCTTTAAAGGATAATTAGTACGAAAAAAAATATTTGAACGACAAAAAGCCAGAATTGTATTAATAGCTTACTTTACTAGGCAAAAAGAGCCATTATCTGTGTTTGTAATAGTATATATATAAAAACAAAGGTAAGTACCTACATAATATGTCAGTATGTATGTATTTCTTAAGGTAGAGTATTTCCTAGAGTAGCAAAGATACGTTTAGTGTGTGTTTATGCAGAATTTTTTTTAATCTATAAATAATATGAACTATAATAATAATATCGGTATCTGGTGATATTAGTAAGCTTTATTATTTATTAGTGCTAACTTTAGAGTTACAAACTAGTTTCTCTATCGCACCAATTACAATTGTCCTTGGCCCGTGTTAATATTCTATAAAATGGTAATAGTATTTTTTAAATAAAATATATGTAACTAGATCAAACATTACATGCTTAAATGGATGACTGATAACTTTTAGTGAACTCAGTACTCAATTGAAAAATATTAGGAAGCATCTATTTTTAAATATATAAAAATACTAGCTGTGACCGCGGTTTCACCTGTGTGAAAATTATAGTCTATATGTTATTCTGACGTACTGTAAAGTTTCATCAAAATCTGTTTAGTAGTTTTTGCGTGAAAGAGAAACAAACGACTATACATGTAAACTTTCGCGTTTATAATATTATTAAGATTAAGATTTTAATAGTTCAAATACTAAAGTATAAGTAATAAGTGAACGCAAACGCATGTAAGTACCTACTATCATTTCTCTTAATGTTATACTGTTATTACCAGGTATATTTTTTTAATTTGTTCACTGTCAAGGCCCCTAAATTACGACGTAACCTTGCAGTCTTTTTGCGCTGGTTACATGTAATAACGTAATACCTACTGATTTCCACAGGACTACACAAATTTAGTATAAGTATCGATTACTAATGATTCGCCACGGTTTCCAATGCATGTTATTAGTGTAGGAATCTATGTATTTTAATAAAAATAAAATACAGCCCATGCTATTGTAACTTTCTATGGGGAGAACAGAGAGACCCCATAAAGTTAAAATTTTAGTTTAAAACATAAAGTTAGTGAGTTCAAATTTGGCCAACATAAAGTAATCTTTGTATGTCAATTTATATTTATAACCGTCTCTCCGGTGATGCAAACACCGATAACAGGGTTTGTTATGGGTGTAGTGTAGGCTTGGATTAGTTAGGGTTAACCAATCCGAGAAGCTATCGATTTGAAATATATCTAACGAAATGTGGTTAGGCTTGTAAGCAAGTACCTTCATCTCGCTGCTGATAGTGAGAGTATGCACATCGTATCATTCTTCACTGGTGCTCAACCGTTAGCACAGGCGGGAGCACCATTCCATTACTCCATCATCATAAGAAAAACAACCTCTGACTATGCATATGAGTTTAGTCCTTTTTAAAGGCCGACAACATACTTGCAATTCCCCTGGTGTTGCGGGTGCTCATAGGCGGCGGTAATCACTTACCCAGGTGAGCCGCATACTCGTTTGTCCCCTGTGTTATAAAAAAAAGTATTCTTGTATCTATTTTTTAAGCAATATATAGCCCATGTTAATTGCTGAAAATATAACTTTTTTTAGGCAAAAGAATTTTTAAAATCATTCTTATATATAAAATCATTTTATATTACTAATATTACTATAAATAGTGAAATTTGTCGTCCTTATTATATTGTTTAGATAAGTTTCAGTATATTATACCTACAGTATGCAAATGTGGTGTAACATACATAAAAGTTATTAACGACTATTCTCAATAATATTTATTTTTTAACATTTGCACGTTCTTCTTCATTTGCACTGTGTATTTTTTCATGGTTTCAGATGTGCGTACGTTTATGGCTAGAGGTGGGCCACGATTGTGAACCAAGACATTCGCCATTTGGCCGGGCTCTGGCACTCGACTGGCGGCTTTGGGTCCGCGGGACCAGCGGGTGCGACATCAGCACATTTGTCCACAAAGTAGTCTTTTACCTTCGTCCTGCTAGCGCATTCGTGTATCCTAAAAGAGGTAAGTATCTTAGTTTTTTTAATCTATTTGTTTTTATTCAAACAGAGGCTAACCTGATACTGCGGACAGCATGTTATCATGTAACACTCGTGCGTTGCTGTTATAGCTAATTGTAAGATGCCTCTTATCCTATACTGCCTAATCTCACCCTGCAGGCTGTATCCAGGCTGATACATTGGACATAATATTCAATATTGTTCCCTGCTTGTAACCCTGTATTCTGCCAAGAAATATATAAATTATTACAACCATAACACAAGCTGTATAAAGAAGTTATTCTTTTTTCTAATTCAGCCGATTTTAACACCTTAGGTTAGTTATAGTCATACGCTAAGAATTATTAGCTTTTTTCTATATACAGTCTTGTTCGCGTAAGTCTTTCGATATAGAAAATTCTTTATAATAACATTGATTTTGTAGCCCGTTAAAAATAAAATTCATCGACTAATTGCATACTTCCAAGTAATAATCACGCTCGACCTCGTATACATACTACTTATCAGTAGCTAAAGATTTCAAATCTAGGAATTTCTTTCTTCTCTTTTTTTCAAATCTAAAAATTGGTAGGAACAATTTTTTAACATATATTAGGCCACGGTGAAGAGTTGTTAATGTTGTGAAACTAATTATCAAAATAACAAATAAATAAATACTTAGTTATTTTCTTCAGCGTCGCAATAAACGGTTTTATCATTAAACAAGCTCATTATCGTTATCACTCACATTAATAACCGTTGCGGTGCGATTATTTATCTCTATGTAATAAGTAACTGCGAATATAATTTATGTTTATATATTGTTTATAATAATAACTTTATTTTATACAGTTTGTCAAGAGCCGCCGTACGAAATCCAAGAATCCGGTTGCGCCTCCGTCGACGTGCCCATACATGTGCACCTCAAATTCAATAACGAGCCAAAGAAAATACGCCTGCGGTACAGTCTGGTCATAGAGAGTAACACTAAGAGAAGTTCGGAATCAAGGTGCATATACTACGACTTTGAGAATCCCTCAGAGCAACTGTGGAAGGCCCTCATGAAAGGCGGCGGGGAAATTATCGCCCGAGCCGGCAACGTGTCCAGCGGCAGCAAACTCGTGGTTCTCTCTGACAGCGGCGACGACAAGTTGCATGGGAGGATGAAGAAGAGGAAATACAAATTCATTGAGTCTATGCGCTGCAAACACGGATCAAAAAGGAGGGCTAAACCGTACACATTCGATGAGTTATGCACAAAATGTGAAGATTTTGCACACGTGGATTTGAAAAAACAGCTGCATGCGGTCTCTATGAAAGAGGAGGAGATAACTCGTCTTTCGGAGCTGTACTTTTCCTATAGAGAATATGAGAGGTCAGTGGATGCCCTCACGTTGCCACCGTTGTCGGATTCCATATACAGATTGCCAGATACACCCCTCTCTCTACGCGAGGCTCTGAAAAGCGTTCGGCTCGAGGACGCGGTGTAGTGCAAGTGTGTTTGGATAATATTAAAAACAATGTTTAAGTTGTGTAATTTAAAAAGTTAAAATGTTGTGATATTCAACAGTGCCATGAGCAACTTACAGCCATTATTAATACGTTTGTTATATGTTTATTGACACCGTTTAAAACGGCTTCATTAGTTAATTTCAAAGACCTATTTACTTTCGTTAGTAATTTATTTCTTAGTTTAAATAAATACAAGTGCTGTGAGCAAGATCTCAAAATATTTTTAGAATACTTTACGAATTGATATGAATTACACTGTAGGTAGGTGCGTCTTATAGTTTTTGTTTATTATAAAGTTAATGGGTACAGGAAACATTTGAAGCAGGACCAGATTTCAAATTTAAATTTTTACAATTTTACTAAACTTCTTACCTATATTATTTACAGTTTTCAACATCACTACAAAGGATATAATTTTTAATGTATGCACGAACAAATAGGGATATATAAAATACACTATACCAATACATAAAATACACTACAATTTGTGTATTAGTACCTATTTAAATGACTACATTAGAAAATGATCCATGTACGAAAACTGTGTTGCTGTAATTTTGTAATTACGTAAGATTGAAAGCAAATATGTATTATCACTAGTATCCTTAACATTATCACTTATCAGTGTGATTAACGTCAAAATCTATTTACTGTATATAGATATTTACAGTTTTGGCCACGTGTGAGTATATTCATTAGCCAGGTATAAAGTTTAATATACGTATTAAATTTCATCTAAATTATAACATATAGCTAGAGTTGTCCAAACGTATAATATGATTGATGTTCCAGTGATTGTGATTTTCTGTAATTCTAGTCTCTAGTGAAAATATATTAATATGTAGGTATATCGAATTATATTTTTATAATAATATATACCACTAAGTTATACCTGTAATTAGGTTAGTAGGTATAATATATACCGTATATTAAAAAATCAGATGCCTAAACGTGCCTACCTATGTAACATGTGAATGTATTACTACGTAATGGCTACACATGAGCGGTATTACTGGTGCCCCACCAGTACTACCGCTATACACCTATTTATATGAACAGCTATGGGCGTCACGTTATCATGTGGCAACATGATAACGTTACGCCCATAGCTGTTCATACAAATAGGTGGCGGTTGTCACTTACCATCATATCATTAATAAAAAATGTAACTCTTTAAATTATAAATGAAATATACACTGTTAAATCCATCATATCTATAATAGATTTGTACTATTTATTTTACTAGATCTTCAAAATATATTGTTAGGCGTAAAGGGTCCAAGCCAAAAGTCAGTAGTAATACGTACTGAATAAAATGAATAATTTTTTTTATCTTTTCATACCATATTGACGGAATCGGTCAAATAAAGGTTTTCTTGTTAATTTTCAATTGTTCACTTTAAGATTTTTACTTCTCGCGATGTATTCAGTTTCATTAATCCTACCACTGACTTTTACCTCATTGGGTATACCAAATCTGTAAAGGTAAATACGTTATTATTTTTTATTCTTATTAATGTTAACTATGAATATTTATAGTACCATATCATAAATAATTTAAGTAGTTCTAGTAATACCTGTAGGTACCTAGATACTGTATGAAATATGTAAACTATTATAAAATACATATATCGCAATTGAAGCTTGTATAAAAGAATGATATAGGTAAATTTGATATTTAAATAGTCTGCTTGCTCATTAGTTTAATATGAAATAGGTATCCATTGTTATTTTGTTATTAGGTACTTAATAAAGATGTTGCTTTTTACCTACTGTGTAAATAGTTAATACCTACGTCAAGAAAAACATTCACCTAGATATACATAATATGTGTTATATATAGATAATAATGCGACGACATTATACTTTACATCATAATAGCGATGAGTTGCTAAAAGTTATATTATTTGTTTTTTTTTTTTTTTTTTCTTCTTCTTTATGGCTTGGCACGTCTGTGCATTTGCACATTTGGAAATTTTGGACGATAGGTTTAAAGGATCAGGTAAGTTGACAATAAGATTAATTATAAGGATTAGACTAAGGTACTACACTATACATATTAATTATATACATATGTCATTATACTTATATAAGACCTTAATATATTAACAGACAACTATTTACATATGATATATTTATATAGAGGCAGTCAGTTTTATATTTACAATTTTATATTATTACTACTTAGAAAAATCGAAATACTTTTATACACATCAATATCATTAAGATATAGTAAAATTGGAATTGATGTAGGTAAAGGAATTCGGTGAGATAGGAGATCATTAAAAAGGTAGGAATGATCATACAGAGGACAACTGAAAATGATATGGTTCAAGTCACCCACTTCTGTACCACAGCTACATATATCATTATCTACAATTTTTAGCTTAGCTAGATGTGCAGGAGAGCATACATGCCCCAATCTCATTCTAATTATTGACGTAGTCTCGCTTTTGTTCAAATTAATTTTGAAGAACCAAGGTTTAAACTGAATAGTTGGTTGAATGTTAAAATAATGTCACGCCTTATTCTGACAGCTATTAGGCCAAAATTCACTCCAAGCATTATGTAGATATAATCCTGGGAGAGCAGCCAGATCATGACAATAATTTTTATATGGAACAATATCACCGCATCCAATTGCCTCGTTCGCTAAGCGATCTGCTATCTCATTCCCATGTATGCCAGTATGTCCTGGAATCCACGTAAGCGAGACAGAGAACCCCCTCGAGTTACATAACTGCAGCAATTTTCTGATTTCTATGATAATAGGATAATTAATATTTGATTTAAATGGAAATTTTTGAAGAGCTAACAGTGCACTTCTGGAATCAGTACACACTATTGTTTGCTGAAGTTTCATAATTAATATATATTCGAGAGCTTTGTAAATACCAAAACATTCACCAGTAAATACAGATGTTTCTGGAGGAAGTTTTATTTTTTGGACTATTTTATATTTTGAATGGTAAACTCCGATCCCAACACATCCAGTTGGATGATGTTTAGATGCATCACAAAAAATTCGGTGCCAATTCCGCCATTTCTTGTCTACAGTTGAGTTAAATTCTATATTTGAGTCGTGATTTTTATGAATATTAAGGTCAAAAATTATACTTGGTTCAAGAATTAATGATTCATAATTCGTACAGAAGATGGGAAAATATTGTGAACGATGAGTAGGAGATGTAAGAGATGAAAATTTCTGGAAGCTCTTTATAATACAAGGAATAGATTTATGGCGCCAGTATTCAGAATTATTAATATAATTAGATAATAATTTTAATTTACTAAATAGGGGATGAGTAGTACATTGTGCACTGCGAAATAAAAATTTATCAGAAAGATATTGACGTCTTAAATACAATGGCGGATCTGAGCATTCCACTTGCAATGCATTTATAGGGCTTGATCGCATAGCCCTAGTTACAATTCGTAAAGCCTTTGATTGTATGCCATCCAGTTTTTTAAGACCAGCTGAGCTACCCGGCTCTAGTAGAAATGTGCCGTAATCCAATATACTTCTAATAATGGCGTTATATAACAGTTTGAGTGAACACGGATGAGCGCCCCACCAAGTTCCAGACAAACATCGAAGAATATTTAATAATCGTTCACATCTTAAAGTAATGTATTCGCAATGGGGAAGTCCACTTAGTTTTGAATCTAGTATTACTCCTAAAAATTTGCTTTGACTTTTTACAGGTAAAAGACAATTATTATAATATATAGAAATAGGAGGAGGCATACGCATTCTGGAGAACAAAACTGCATTGCTTTTGTTAAGTGACAACTGCAATGCATTCTGATCAAACCAAAGCTTTAGATATTTTAATGCAGATGTCAAATTCAAACAGCATTTTTGAACAGATTTGTCTATGGCATAAAAAAGCAGATCGTCTGCATATTGTAAAATAAAAACATTATTATTCATATTACTTAACACAGCCTTTTCTAAATCATAAGTGTATAGGTTGTATAATAAGGGGCTAAGAACTGAACCTTGTGGGAGTCCTTTCCATACTACTCTAGATGAGATTCCAGTGTCATCAGAATTTATAAGAATAGTTCTTTCAGTAAGAATATTAATTATAAAAGTTGACAGTTTAACTGGAATATGTAATATATCAAGTTTCTGCTTAAGTATTGGCAAAGAAACATTATCATAAGCAGATTCTATGTCTAAAAAGGTTGCAAGTACAGAGTCATTTCTGGAAAAGGCTAAACGAATATCCGTTATAAACAAACTTAAACTATCAAGAGTACATTTCCCTCTTCTAAAGCCATATTGACTATCTGATAAATAGTGGTTACTTTCAATATACCATTCCAGACGGTTTTTGATCAGATGTTCTGACAGTTTAAGCAGAACTGAAGATAGCGCTAAAGGACGGTAGGAAGCAATGTCAGATGGAGTTTTGTCAGGTTTTAGAATGGGGATTATATTTTGAGTCTTCCATAAAGCAGGAATATTACCAGATATCATAATTGAGTTAATGATATCTAAGAAATAGGAGAGAGATGTACTATCTAAATGTGAAAAAAAGGAATATGGTATTCCATCTTCTCCAGGTGCAGAATCTTTAACTTTTGTAAGTACTCCCTTAAGCTCTGGTAACGAAAATGGAGCATTTAATTTAGAGAAATTATCTATATCAGAGGTAATTACAACTTTATCCAACAAAACTTTTTCAGGAACTGAGGGAGGGGCTAACTTGTCTAGGAAACATTCAACCATATGAGGAGGAAGTACATTTGATTTAGAATCGTGGAATGCACTTCTAAATCTTCTTATATTATTCCAGACTATAGATGCATTCACATTGGGAGAAATAGATGAACAGAATTTCTTCCAACCTGTTAATTTCTTATCTCTTAACAATTTACGGGTAGTTCTGGATATATTACAGAAGATATCAAAGTTTTCCAATGTAGAGTGTAAATTGTATTGTTTTTCAGCATTTTTTCTTTTCCTAATAGCTTCAGTACATTCACTGTCCCACCATGGTGGAGAAGGTATTGTATTCTTAGAAGAAGATTTTTTAGGAAAAACTTCATTAGCAGCCTGTATTAATACTTCAGTGAATGCATTAGAGCAAATGGTTTCAGTGCCTTGAGTAATAATAGGCAGTGATGAGATTTTAGATGCAATGACGTTATTGAAAGTATCCCAATCAGCATTATTTAGCTTATATTTCATCCTTGGTTCATATTTTGGTAGTGGTTTATCAATAAAAGGAAAAGAAATAATAAGAGGGAAATGATCACTTCCAAATGACAGTGACAAGGGGCACCAAGTAAGGGATGTTGCAAGAGTAGGTGAACAGATGGAAAGATCAGGAACACTATTTCCTTCATTAGGTGGAGTACGACGTGTAGGTTGGCCAGTATTTAATACACACAGGTTAAGGGTATCTAATATTTCTAAAACTTGGTGGCCATATGAATTGTTTGTTGTACTACCCCAGGACTGATGTTGTGAATTTAAATCTCCTAGTATTAATAAAGGTTTGGGAAGGGCAGAAAGAATATTATTAAGTTCATTAAAAATAGAAGTTGATGGATGAGGTATATATAAAGATACATAACAAATGTTGTTAACTTGGACAGCTAATATGGAAAAATTACTGCTATGATCAATAGGTATATGTGAATAAGGAACTAAATGTCGGACGAGTATAGCGACACCACCATACCCATCTGTCCTATCTTCTCTGAGACAAGCATAACCCGGTATCTTAAAAGTAGATATGGGTTTCAGCCATGTCTCCTGAAGGGCACAAATAAAAGGTTTATTTTTATTTAAAATATGAAATAATTCACTTTTTTTATTAATAATACTACGACAGTTCCACTGGAGAACTTTGGCCAATGGAGCCATTGTTGTTGAAGATTTGAAGAAGAGCACTAAATAGAGAAGCAGCGTTGGACGGTACAATAGAATTAGACTCAGTCAGCAATTTAATTAAAGCCATGATTAATTCTGTAAATTGATTTGGTAAATTCTGATCAGCTACAGATTTATAACCACAGCCATCTGCAGGAGTAGGAGGATTATAATCTTTTATTAATTGCTTATGCATGTTTACATCATAACCATGTGATAATTTTGGAGATTGACGGGGTTTTTGTACAATGGTTTTTTTATATGATCTATTGATTATATTAGAAGATAGAGTATTTTGGGGTTTAGTATTATTTAAATGTTCCGCAGTTATGATAGAAGAATTAGTTTTAACTGTGTCAGCATATGATTTTGTTACAGGACCATGCAATTTGCTGGCTTCTGCATAAGATATACAGCTTTTAGCCATAGTTTCTTTTATTGCTTTTTGTCTCCATAGTTCCGGGCAGTTTTTACTGTTAGCTTGATGATCACCAAGACATAGACAGCAGCAGAAGTCTTCTTGCTGCGTACAGTTTTCACCTGAATGTCCTTTACTACATTTATAGCACCGTGGTGTAGAACGGCATTGATCCTTAACATGACCATACCGACAACAGTTATAACATTGTATTGTTGGGTATATGTAAATATCTACAGGTAATGAGTTGTAACACATAAATACACGTTTAGGAAGTATTTGACCATCAAAAGTTATAATAACAGTTTCTGTGTCAACAAATATGGATTCACCATTAATAATATTCTTACGTCTAATCCTTCTAACTTTAAGTATTTCTCCACAGCCAAGTGGGACAGAAATGTTACTTATTACCTCTTCAGGGGACCAGTTTGAGGGAACACCCTTAATAATTCCTATTCTAGTAAGATTAAAAGAGGGGACAAATGCTTTATAGTTCTGTTGTTTTAAACGGTCACAGTCAATGAAGGAATTGGCATCAATAAAATTAGAGAATGACAAAGCTAATCTATTCCTACCAATTTTTTTCAAACTACCATTAATAACATTTTTATAAGCACAATTTTTTAAGAGGCGACCAAAGGCAATTGGGTGTACAGTAATTCTGTCATCCGGCGAAGACTGCTCCTTTTGGATATGGACTACATAAGGTGCCGCATCACCTGATTGATAATAAAGCCTAGCTACTGATGGTCGTAACTGACTTGAACCAGCATTATCCATTTTATCCTCATTATTTGCACATGTCACAGGAGGTTGCTCGACCTTATTCTCATTATCCTCTATATTTGTACATGTATTAGAAGAAGGTTGATCACCTTCATTTACAACAGCGCATTGACAAGTGTTCTCTTGATTTTTAGAGTTTCCTTTAGAACCGCGATTTCTTCTTCGCTTTTTGTTACAGTGTTTACACACATGAGTAGCAGATATACGTTTTCGTTTAACTTTCAAATTCTCCACTAGGGTAAAAGAGCAATCAGTATCCATTGAATCATTTTCATTATTGCTAATAGTTACGTGGAGGCCCACCTGAGGGCCTGTGCCCCCAGGATCCTCAGGAGGGTCCATATATAAATTAAATAATTATGACTTACCTATGTTACAGCTACTATAATTACACTAATAAACAAATAAAATATATATAAAAGAGTGAAAATATCTACAATATCTAACTTAACTGATCACTATTAAATTTTTATTTAAATCTTATCAAAAAAACACGACCACCAAATTCTATGTTTCCCGCCTTTTTTTTCTATTATTTGTTTATAGATGTAAAAAATGCAAGGACTGGAGACTAGATACATAAATATAACATTTTAAATTTTAGTTTGAGACTGAGAGCGTCATTGCCTAATGCTTTACTACCAAGAGGTCATGAGTTAAAAGCTGGCCTTCACCAAAATCAATGTGTCTATGTAGATACTATCTGGTACTATTTTTTAATTTATTCTGATGCTGATTACCTACTGAACTGGTTAGCAAGAGAGCTGCGAACTAAATTAAGCGATCATAGTCGTGAACTATTATGATCAACACAAAGTTTGCATGCCTGGAAGAACACCTTTTGCGCCTAATTTCGAAATGGCTTGTGAAGTATAAGACGGTTCGAAATCAACCGCACCTGTTTGCTTGACCAAGGTAAGCGGGTACCAAATGTTATTGTTTATACACGATTTAATTATTGCTCAATCATATTAAATATAAAAACAGTATGTTTAAAGTCAGATAAAATATTAAAAAAATAATATTTTGCTTAAAAATACTTCTTCATTCTATTTTCTATTTTATAAGGATATTCTATCAGTACGTAATATTATGTTATCTGTGCGACACCAGTCAGTTAATTAGTTCTTCCGGCCCCACCTCGCCCAGAGCCATACAGTTGATACCCAGAGCCGTAAAACATAAAACAGCCGTCATTGCAATAAAAGTCTACGTAATTATCAAACTGACAATGTCAATGTTAATTCATAGAGTATTCAATTATTCGTTTCTGTTATTCTTTATTTAATTCAATTCAAGACAAAGGGAATAAATTACTGCAAGAAGCAAGTGAAAAGCAAAAAATTTTTTACCAATACCAAATTATTGTTTGTATTTGTTTTAGTAATAAAATATTAATTGTATATTATTCAACTTTGCGTTTGCTAAAATATCTATAAATATATAAACATTGTCAATAAACATCGAAACAAAAATCTAGTCATCATCAAAAACGTATAAATTTAATCATGGTGTGTGTGCCTTGTTTTATCGTTCCACTTCTATTGTATTTGTGGCACAAATTTATTCAACCGTATGTTCTGCGCTTTTGGAATCCATGGGCTGTTAAAGATGCTGACGGAAATGAGACAACTGAATTTCCATTCAAGTGTGAAGGTGGAGTGTGCGCTTTTGCACCTCGTAAGACAAAAGAAAAGAACTTAACAGCTGATACACAAGAAGCATCGAGTGAGACTAAGTTGAACTCTGATGATAGACTAAAAACAGATTGATTACCTCAATATTCTTCATGCAATTGTCATGTGACATGCAATCAATTAATTTATATTTAATTTGAAAGTGAAAATTTCAATTTTCACATAATTTTAGCTACAGTCAAGCATTTACATTTGTATAATTGAGACTTCAAAATAACAAATGCATGCAATGCAATGATATTTATTTTTATTGAATAGAATATGTACAGCAGTGCATGGTTGTGGTCCTCCTACAGTAACACAAGTATATCTTTTGAACAACATGGTTTGGCAGTAGAAAGTATTATATTTTTGTGTAGATTATATATATTCATAAGGTGATGTTGTTTTAGTTTTACGATTATATATATATACAGTCAACCCTCCTATAACGCGGTACTCTCAGAACGCGGTTTCCATATAACGCGGAGCTGAAATTGCGACAGCCCTCCTATAACGCGGTACTCTTACAGCGCGGTTTCCGTTCAACAACGTCCCATCAGTTCTTTCCGTGCACCCAATGAATGGTTTTAACTGGATATGTTTATATCAGCGTGGTTCACGGGTGGGTGGTTCTCCTCATGCGCTATCTTCCACTTCTATTAACTAAATAGTTTCGCATCGACAGCGTGCCATGCGTGTGTGTGTCTAATGAAACTGTAACATGAAAGATATATATGTGATCTTTTGACTACATTGTCGCGTGAACTATAGAAAAACTACGTTCTGCTTATGTCTTAGCCGCTTAAAACCAATGTGAAGATCAACCAAGTGAGGAAGACATTTTGCCCATTAAAAGAAGGCGAGTTAGGCGACTCATATCTGACAGTGAGGATGAGTGTTGAAAGATTACATCATTTTACAAAAGTCTTTCTTTTGTTTTTGTTGGAAAACAGTTTTTTAGTTTAGTTTTTGTTTCATTTTTTTCATAATTTCCTTATTTTTATTGAATTGAAGAGTTCATACTAAAAATAATTTATAATTTATCTTGTCTTTTGTATTTATTGGTCTCCATATAACGCGGTACGAATGATGTGATTTGTACTTATTCTGAGTCTCTTATAGCGCGGTTTCCATACAACGCGGTAGACGGTTTCCATAGAACGCGCTACGAATTAGCCTGGTTTGTATGGTTAAATCCGAGTTTCTTATAGCGCGGTTTCCATACAATACGCACTATATAGGGTTATATATATGATAGTAAATATATGCATTAAATAACTGTTCCAAAATCTTGCTATTTCTACCCAAAATATTCCTGAAGTAAAATTATGAAATGCTTACATCCTCATGTCTTATTATAACCACAAGTTATAAGGATTGATAGTGCTGGGAACCAAGACCTCATTGCTAATAATCTAATCTATTATATTTATATGTAACCAGCTACTCGCCCCGACGTCACATGGGTGTACATCTATAAATAATCCGCTTCAAAATCTGTTGCAGTTTTAAAGATTTAAGCATACATAGGGACAGACAGCGACAGCTACTTAGTTTTATACTATGTAATGATGATAATAGGTGGACTTCTATCTAGGCTACCCTGTAAACCATCATGGTAATTTTTAATAATTCTGTCAATGGACTAATTGACCAATGTTTAAAATCATCCCATCAGCTCTGTAGCTAAAATGTGAGAAAAGATGACTAATATCCTAGATGTATAGAGATATTGACAATTGTGGACATAATGATGAACACTTGACATGCTTACATTTAGTTGGGTACTTATATGTATATGAAGCCAATGTGACAGGGATCAAACATACCACCATCTATCAGATGAATTGAAATGTTATTGATAACAAAACTGAAAATTCATTGACTGCCTCGCTGGTGAAGCAAACATTGATGTTTGCTTCATCAGCGAGGCAGTCAGAAATACAAATTGTTTTCAGATTTTAAATTCAAATATTTAATTTAAAGTCAGGTAGCAAACCCCTAACCTAACACACAAAGCTCAACAAGCTGAACAATAGAAATTCTTGTCTGAATATTAATAACTTGAAATTAATATGCAAAAACACATTTGACAAACTATTGAGTAGTAATGAATTTACCTTGAGTACAAATTCTCTAGATACATAGATGACGAAGGCATTTTTATGTAATTGCAATGGCAAACTAGCTGTTGCCCCACCTGTCAGTAAGCAGTAAATGTACATGAACAGCACTATGGCCATCACATTATCATATCACAAATACATTATCACTTCATATATTCTTCACATAGTACAAAAGGGCCCAAAGCTCTCTGTATGCTTAGATCATTTAAATTACGTAATGGATTTTAATGCAATGTTCAGCAGTCGATTCAAGAATAAGGTTTACATGTATATTTCATACACATTATAGTATGGAGGCAATTAAAGAATATTTCTGATTACTTGAATGGTTAAGTCTATGTAAAGTGGGTATCCTGTAGTTTATCTAGCTAAAGTACCAAAACTAATGGTTACTTCAACCAACCATGTTTCTTATAAAATAAATAATCTTTCAGGATTGGTGACAGGATTTTTAACCCACAATATGAAATTATAAAATATATAACAAATGAATAGTTTTTTTCTGCCAGTGTAGAAGTGATAGGTTTCAATGAATTATGCTAAGCATAAAGGCTTGAAAAGCAGTCTCATGCTGTTGCTACCACTAATAGATTTTCTGTAGGTAATATTTTTAAGGTGATTATTAAATAATTACAAAAACAAATGAGTTCAAAAATATAATATAACGAATGATCACTTAATTAATGACATTAATTTTGAAATGGCTAATAAAACTTAAAAGTATATTCATGGTACAGTCAGCTTTACATCGCCGTCAAAGATGGTCATGGTCAAGTATAATCATAATTCTTACAAATAAATACACTATCTGTTTAAAATTTAAAATTAACAGCTCAAATTTTCACTAAATGCATATGATATATACTTTCATATAACATCAATAAAAAAAAATTAAATACTTTGTCTTTAGACGGGACTTCACTCGCAGATAGCTAATGTTATAAAGAGAAACTTAAGCTAATTAATTTAAATAAAATAAACGTAAAATAAAAAAAATACTATGTCTTTTAACGGACTTCACTCTCAGATTGCTAATGTTATAAAGAGGAACTTAGGTTACTTTTCTTTTAGAAATTTATTTAATTTAATAAAAAAAATAAGTAAAATTACGAAGTCACGGGAAACAGCTGGTCAAGTATAAAAATAATCTTAAGGAACACTTAATCATCATTATTTACATTAACTATCTATGTGCGCTTTATATATAGGTGATAACCACAGTGATACCATTGTATTAAGAGACGAAATTAAAATATTCTTCATACATTATTATTCACCCTATACCTTAACAAATCTATATAGCTGACTGCACCAGCCAGGCGGCTTTATTACAAATATATTATACATAGTCAAACTCATACAATACATAAGCTGTTTCACAAGTTATAGGGCAAATTTAATCATAGAAAATCAATTGCCGTTATTAAAATAGTAGATGCCAGTAGGCGGCGTTCATACAAGTTACCTAGATTCATAGTACATATTCGAAATACGATTTTTGCTAAATCAATATAGCACTTCCTGAAGCTGACATAAAAAGTATTGGCCAGTAAAACACTTTATTCTATATTTGCAATATAATCATAGTCAGAAATTTTATTCTTAATAATAAACTCCAGTTTGACTCTTACAATCTAGCTTATATAGAACTTAAGTAAAAGACAAATATGAAACATCTGCAATAAATAATTAATATAGGAATAATGTAAGAGTAATGATGAGTGACAAATTTAATTGCAGATGTATCAATTTGACATGAATAGATTTTCTACTCTGCATTCCTCATACAGTGGCAAACATTCAACAATATTCATTTCAACTGAAAACAACAAATGTTCATGACACACTGGTGTAGATTCATATTTATTTAGCACATCATTTAACATTCTTGAGCTCAACATCAAATACTAAAGTTGAATTCGGTGGAATTACTGGTGGTGAACCTTTTGCTCCATAACTGAAATTAAAAGTAAAAAATATGTAAATTAAGTATTCTTAGTAATATATTAATAATAGTTTTTCTTTCCGACTCGAACAATATTCCATATTGATGGTAGAAACTGATATGAACCAGCTGCAACCCGCGGCTTTACATAGGTACTTTTTATTCAAATTAATATAGATCAATATGAATAAAAAGTACTCAATGTTAATACAGGTTATGACCCATATACAAAACATCATTAAATCAATTGAACCCAGTCTTATAAAAAGAATGGTTCATATATGAACATCTTTACATATTTTACAATTTATTATATTACTGGTGTTTTCTGTGTAACAAATTAAAAAAATAGTGTTACAATTAACTATGATTATCATTATATCATTCTTTGTCTTGAAAATTGAAAACAAATAAATTATACATACATGTGACAGTTTAAGACTGAGAATGTGTGTAGGTAAATGAAGTGTTTTAAGAAAACTTACGCCATTGCAGGTGGGCATACGATTCTCCTTTTGCCTCCAACCTTCATACCCGTGATGCCGACATCCCAGCCCGCGATCACTTCTTTCGCGCCCAGTTTGAACTTGAAACCAGGGCCTTTCAGGCAATTGTCGAACATTTTGTTGTTTTGTTTCAAACGCCCCTCATAGTATACCTATTAAATAAAATAATTTTATTTTAATTAATAATAACATAGGTAGGTAGTAGATAATGGAATGTTGCACCTGCTTGTGCTATTAATAATCACTGGCTAGTACTATAGGATGAACATTAAGTTACTAACCATTACAACTTTGCCAGGCTTGGCAGGTGGCCCATTTCCAACTTTAGTATCTTCAACAAATACTCCACCACTTAGAGATTTCTTTTCTTTCTTCTCCCCTGCTTCCTCTTGGTTCACTTTTTTGGCCTCCTGTTTCTTTTTCTCAGCTTTTTGTGGAGCCTCCTGTTTCTATAAATCATAATTTAAAAATAGAAGGACTGTTGAAATGGCTGGCTTCACATGAGTATGTATGTATAAAATATATAAAAAATCCTCTAGAATCACTATTTATTGCTAAAAACTGCATTAAAATCCCTGCCATAGTTTAAAAGATCTGAGGTAATGGACAGCTGAAGCAATTTTATTTTAGACTATGTAATTGATATGGAATAAATATAAAATAATAAATAACTGATATTTTTAGCATACAAGATACAGATGGAGGTGGTAAGTCGTCTAAGTAAGTAAGGTTCTGAAGATTTTTAAATAATTTAATATTGATCGATGATACATACCTTAGACTTATCAATTCCATTGACTTGTGGTTGTTGACCGGCCAATTTCTGTTTCTTTTTGAGACGACGCCGTTGACTCTTTGTCAGTTTAGATATGTCCACTCCATTTTCTTCCTTGCTGGTGTCGAGGGTGGTCTCTGCTTCTCCCGATGTTTCCATCTTATTATCGTCATCTTCATCGTCCTCTTCTTCTTCTTCCTCTGCCTCTTCATCATCATCTTCCTCATCACTAATGAAAAACTTTAGTTTTATCAAAACTGTTATGTGTCAGTGTAGTCCAAAATAATTATTTAAAATGTGCTAATGTATTTTTCCAAATACATTTTCAAGTTTCAATGTTTTTTTTTATTGACAATTCACACAGTGCTATGTAGTCCCAAGTTAAGCTAGCTAAAGATTGTGTTATGGGTACTATATTAGATACTAGATAACTGATAAATATATAGTTTTCTTTTTCCGTAAATACATACATATTATATGTAGAAAACACTCAGACCGACACAAACAATCAACTTACAAATGTTTGCACTGTGCAAGGAATCTAACCCGCAACAATCGGAATTAAGGCAGTGTGCGAAACCACTTAACCACCAAGGCCATGTTAATTTGCAATGTTTGATTGTAAGGTTGAGTTGACTTGATTAAGATTGGTAATTTTAATCAAGTTAACAGCATTTTTAATGGTTATCTCTTGTGTTAATAAGAAATACTCAGAAAAATATGTATATTATACATAAGATCATATATATAAGAACTGCTGAGCATGAGTAGGAATTTCTTTAGAACAACCCATTATTGAAGTTGATGAATCCCTAATTTCATCTAGTAATAAATATAGCCTATATTATTCAAAGATTGTTAAAGTATTATCTCTGTTCTATAGTTTTTAAGGTTAAAAATTACAAAACACACAAATCTTTCCTGTTTATGATATTAGTGCAGAATTATTGATATACCTATAAACACGAAAGATTTACTACAAAACCTTACCTGTCACTGACTTCACCAGATGTATTCACTTTGAATGACTCATCATTCTCATCTGTGTCAATGTCTTCACCCTCCAGGAATTTCTGAAGCTGGTCTTCATCATCAGAGTCTGAATCAGAACTATCTGCCTTGGCCACCTTTTTGGCTACTTTCTTGTCTTGCTGAAGTGTTCAAAATAAAACTATTAGAATTATACTTTGCCACTTTAGAAATGTGGTATGAATATAATAGTTCTATAATTATATTAAAATAATATAATTCACATTTAGTATTTCAATAGCATATGGGATAGGATATGAGTCAATCGTGAGGATAGGAGTATGAACTTATGCACACTTTATAAAGGAGTACAGAATGTAATTTTTATTATTAAATTATGCAATAAAAATAAATTTATTGATTAAGAATAAACTAATTTTGTTTGTCTTTAATGTTATTTCTCTATAGCTTTTGACAATAGAACCTTAACAATGTTCAAACGTTTCAAATTAATGATGATTGAATTTCGACCATGGGGAGTGACCATCAGTTTAAATAAAAAAATTGTATAAATGACTTCTCAATTAGCTACCTTAACTTTCTTGCTGACTTGCACCTCATTGCTGTTCTCAAGTTTCCTCTTATTCTTTGTGTTCACTAATGCTGGTACTTCCTCCTCATCCTCCTCTTCTTCTTCTTCTTCATCAGATGCTTCTTCCTCAAACTCAGGGTCCAAATAACCAGTTAAATGGACATTACATTTACCTGGTAAAATGCAATTGTTTTTTATTTAACCTAAATAATTAGATTTGGTCCCTTTGTGCCTTATTTTCAAATGATTGGTGGTCTCTTCTTCTCACATCTCACATAATACAAACATTTCTATTCATGATATGTTTCTATAGGTATATAATAATATAATATCTCAGGACAAATCACACAATGTGATCTAGCCCCAAGCTAAACAGAGTTTGTGTTATGGGTACTGGACAGCTGTTCTAAATACATAATTACATTTTATAAATATATTAGCCGACCCGGCCACATATTGCTGTGTAGCCACAGCAATATGTGGCCGGGTTCTTGAATAAAATAATATAACACCTATAAATTGAGATGTAAGCTATTCTATCTTTTAAGTTGGATCAAATTGCACACAATGTGCAAATCCAATTTGCAATCAGTTCAGTAGTTTAGGTTTTTCTATCTTTAGTACTCACAGTATGAGCTTTGCATAGTTTGGGACTAGATGGTGCTGTGTCAATTGTAATGGTTTGTTATTAGTTATTTCTGATGAGTATTATTAAATGGCATTGATGTAAAGAGTTACTCAACGAATAATGTTGTATTTTTATTATTAACCCCTATTGCAAAAATACTTTTATAAGATTGACATGCCTGTTCGTCTATACCATATCTTCTAAACAAATGGACTGATAATGATGTATTTTGGTTATTTATTTTTAAGCTGACATGTTCAATATGGTTCTTAGCTACAATATGTAAGTCCTGTTTTTATTTGTGGTGAGTTATAATAACTTATTTTTAATATTATTATTTTCAAACAGTTTGTTAGACAGTGTAATATAACATATTCATTAGTCACTTATTAAGTGAAATACTTGGTAATTCCAAGTTTTTTAATTAATTTAAGTAGTTAAATATATATCCTGTAATTATTTCATTTAGCTACAGCAGTAAAGGCTATAGATTTATAACCATTTCAGATAATTGTGAAATACAAATGAACTCTTTTGTATTTTTCATAATCAACAGAAAACTACTTTGGATGACTATGAAATACATATAGAGAAATAATGGTTTAACACATATTAGATTTAAGCATTATAATTTGAGATAACCATTCATTATATTTAGATTTCTCATAATTATAAATTAAAATGGACTTCAAAGAAATGAGAACTCAAATTGATTAAGCTGTGATTGGACAAACAGACAAAAATTAAAAATATTATTGCTACTGTTCCCATTGTGTCTATAAAGTTCACCAATAGCAGTTTTCTCATATCTTTCATGTATAGCTAGTGATTAATTGAATTTTTATTCTGTATGCATAAGATAGTAAGATATCACCCAAACCAACACAAATAGCTATGATAAAGAGCATGCACATGTGTGTTCGGTGAGACTAGTATCTATAACCATGGGTTAATAGGCAGGTACCATGTGATAATCCACTACACTATTGTGCACAGGATATTACACAGTAGAGTACAACTTACCATTAGTAAGAAATGCAACAGAATCTCCAGTTTTGAAATACAGGTCCAAAGGTACTTGAATGCATTTGTTCTTTTGCAATGTACAGATAAGGAAGTTTTTGCCATCCACAACCACCATCACCTGGCAAGCGTCATTATCTCCTGTAGAGATGTCTATTGCTGCTTGCGAAATGTGGAATGGCTTCTCTACTACCTGAGCGTACCGTTTATTCGGCTCCATAATAAGTCCTTTAAGAGAAATATCATGCATCTATGAATATTATATAGAGAACATTTCTTATACAAAATTATACTGCAAATAAGTTATACGAGAACTTTTTTATATACGCAGTAAAATAATACTAGATATACGTATGTCAAATTTAACAGCAGTGTATGAGAAATGTAGCATGCCGTTCTTTAAAAATTGGTTTTTTAAACCGACAAACTATTGAATTAAGAACATATTATTAATTTCCCGCCGTAATATGAAGTAAAGTTTAAAGAGAAAACAATTATTGAAAAAACGTGGTAGAAACAACACGTGGTAACAATTCTACCGGCTTCGGTAACTTACCCCAAAACATTTTGATGGTGTTTTTAACAACCGTGTATAACAACTAAAAACCTTAGAGATCTAAGTTTATTACACTCAGTTATAGAGCTTTATAATAACGATATATAAATTATTAACTTTATAGAAAACGGATTCAATGTACATGAATGCGGCAGAAAAAGAAAGAATCAAAGCCAACCACGATGTCGAACTTATATTTGATTTGACGTTTGACAATTTAAATAAAGGTGTCAGTTTCAGCACAGACGTTTTATTTGACATATGACATGCTCAGAACATGATTAGCACATAGTAGTAGTAGTAGTATATTTTATCCACAAGTGGCAATAGGCAAGTGGTTAGGCAAAGGTATAAGAACATGAATGTTCGCTGAGTCCTTTTGCCTTTCCTGAAGTTGGAAAATCGATCCCAAAAAAATTAATATTCATGGAATTATGAGTAATAAAAATCTTTAATATTATCTTAGTGAGAAATCTTTATGCTAATCTGCTGTTTATGCTAAAACCACATTGTTCATTTTTTCTTATAGTATAAATGAAACATTTTTTTATAAAACGTGACTATAAGGTATTTTGTTCCTTTTACACTTGCAGTATACAAATTAAAATAGGTATCTTATTTTTTATTCCAATTTGTGTATATGGACCTCACTCAGTATATACCATTACCTAAAAGTTGATAACGCAAATAATGACCTACTGCTCATCTTTTAATTGACTTTACGAAGAACTTATGTGATGTAACTTATAAATGGAAATAATATAACAAATTTGAAGTTCATAAACGGCTAAAATGGCCTACATAAATAAATGATTTTTGAATTTGAAAAATATAAACTTGTTTTCTAGCTACACATTCCTTTTTTGAATTAGAAAATATCAAATTTGACTTGTATCCCACAAGTCACATATGATATTTTCTAAGGGATTAAGCTGAAAATTAACATGCATAATCTGTGTACAATTTAAACCTTGGTGTTGGCAACACTATTCATGATTTTTTTTCTTTTTAACTAATTGTCAAACACCGACGGGAGTTTTTCAATCATGGTAAATAATAATTTATATCATAATCTTTAAATAGTATTATAATCTTACGACTATTTGGTGTTTTAAATTACCACACTCAATATCGGTTCTAGGATTCGTTATTTTGGTAAGATATTTAACAGTTAACCTTAATTTTACAGGGTCGTGTCAGGACTAAGACGGTGAAGAAAGCTGCAAAAATTATAATTGAAAAATACTATACTAGACTGACACTCGATTTTGATACCAATAAGAGAATATGTGAAGAGATTGCTATCATTCCAACTAAACCCCTTCGTAACAAAATTGCAGGGTGAGTTTATTATTTAAATATTATTTTTGCGTTCAGTGACATTTGTGATACAAATAAGGTTATGCTCTTCCCTTACAAGTTCTTTTCCTGTTTTGTAATAATTTAAATATAAATAAATATACTACATTGTATTATAAATATTGTACGTTCTTCCTTAAACGTATAATTTTAATTGTCTATCAATATTGTAATGTTGTTTCATAGTAAAAGTGGAACTGTGTGTTTTATATACATTTCAAATAAATTCTCCAAATTATGACCTTTTTTGCTTAATGTGATGTTGAGATTAATTTCTTTTATCTGATGACTTACGATCGTGAAACCAAATCCTTGGAACCCTTAATACAATATTTAACAATTTTTAAATCCTCTACAGAAAACTTTAAAAAGTTGTATGTTTATTTACTATAGATGTGGACAAATTTAATGTTGTATTATTTTTTAATTATATACATATATTCTTTATTGCACTTATAACAAACAGTAACAATCTTAAAATGAATTACTACTGAAATAGAGACAACTGTAGAAACAGTGTCAAAAAACAAATATAAACTTATAGATATATATATTTAATTGTCCCCATACTATAGAAAAAATAAATTTGTTTTCAGGTTTGCAACCCATTTGATGAGGCGTCTCCGTCACTCACAAGTACGTGGCATTTCCATCAAACTGCAAGAAGAGGAGCGTGAGAGACGCGATAACTATGTACCAGAAGTGTCTGCTCTGGAACATGACATCATTGAGGTGGATCCTGACACCAAGGACATGTTGAAAATGCTTGATTTCAATAACATCAACGGTCTGCAACTGACACAGCTGGCCACACAAGGTGGTTACGGTGGTGGTAGACGTAATTAAGTGTAATAAATAATAATTATATAAAATTCTCTTTTGTTTAATTTAAAAATACTTTATTCATAACCAAAATTATACAAATGTAACCTTACTATTTATAAAATAGAAATTAACCATGTAATTTACATGAGCAAACTCTCATGGTAATTTTGGTAGTACTTTTTGTATTAAAAACCAAAATATAAATTAATAATATGAAATATACATTACTTGATCAGTGTAAATAATTAGTCAGGGTAGCTTTAATTATTAAAAAAAAATTAAATTTATTAACTTAATGTAATTGGGACTATTTAAAAAATGCCACTAAGCTACTTCATTGTTCCCTTATATGGACGATTCCTACGTGGATATACAAAAGTATATTGTAACCAAAGCGGCAACAATAGTTTTTAAGAGAAACAATCTATCGAAATGAAGTACATATTTAAATTCTTGAGAAAATTAAAAATGGACAAAAAATCCTGTTACTTAGATATATTTATATACGTAGTATGCTTTAAAGAAGGAAATGCAGATGGCACCCTACATGTCTTGTATATTGCCGATATTTTAAAAGCAATAATATTGAAAATTTCATATTATTTCTACTAATTAATTACACGAATTTTTTTTCGGTGCACGAATGAATAGTGAACTTTTGTGAACATGTTCATTCGTGCAACCCGCGAAACGATTTTAACTTTCGGAAACGGAAACTCCAATGCGACGAATGCTCCATAGTTTTGACGGCTATATTATCAAATTTACAAATTATAAAAATCGTCAAAAACGCAAAAATTTTATGGAACCAAGAATACAACATATTTTGAAACTTCATAATAATATTAAAAGTTATTACCAAATAAGTGTTGATTCAGTGCTTCACTGTACTTGATAATGTAATACTCCCTTCGTGGCTTGGTTGAGGCATATTCGGAAACACTGTCAGGATTACTTTGCAATTTTGAATAAATGACGAATACACTCAGAGTGTACTAAAAAAAAAATTTCCACGTGTAATATTATCAAACAAGGTCTGCTAATAATTAATAAAATTTGAATAATTACAATAAATTAGGTAATTTATCATTTACCAAACTTATTTATTACTTTGACTTTTGTGTATCCGAACTTACTGTAATTGTTTTGTTGAGTAGTTTGTGTTCTCGCTCACTCTCATTAGTTCTTATGGTGGCTATCGTAACAATCGTAAATCGTATAATTTTCGTGCTAGAGTAGACACCGAGAAGTGATTATTCTGTTGTAATACTAATTAATTACTTATATGATACAAATTGCAGTCAATATTCTTTTTCTTAATTAATAGTTTGAGCGTAGCATGAAGAATGGAATGTACACATTTGTCAGATAACGTCAAGGTGGATACCGATTACATCGTTGAGGACAGCACGATCACAAAGAACTTCAATTGTTCAGGTAAAATATACAACATTTAATAGTGGTAATCACATTGTATTACTTTGATACAAGTCAGCGTTTTATTTGTGTATATAATGTTCCATTTGTTTAGGGAGGTTAGTTTAGAAAAATCAATACAGTGAGCTATAATAATCAGCTGTTCGATTCAAAGTGCGGGAGGGGGGCACGGCATGGGTGACCGTGACTGATGTATGTCGCCTTTTTCTGACGCGTTTCGTTGAAATAATTTAACCACATGATTGCGTTGTACTGTTTTACACACATAATTTAATTAATACATATATTTAATATATGTAAACTGTACACTGTATGTAAATATTAATGTAATTGCAACACCTCGACTTAATTACTGTATTCGCAATCAGATATTAGCGGCCTCCTAAATAGATAGTATATTTTCTCGATTCACACTTAATGTTGAACAACAATACTGAAATTATAGCCCAATAAATATGTAGTTTATATGTTATTATCACAATTGTATACTGTTGATATTATGTTTATCTGTAAGTACAAAACTTACACTACCTATTACAAAATATATTATTTATATAAAATTTTCATCAGTGAGAATCATTGACTAATTTTAGACAGCCCTTCATGAATCACTAATTAATTGAATTTCTAATGTATGAAATAAGAAAGGTCTCCTAAAGTTCTATAAATATAGAAGATGATTTAACAATGTTTGTAAACACTAAACCACTGTGTATATTTACTTGTTGTTTATACTATATCAGTGATGTTATTACCTATATTAAGATAAATAATTATCTATATTTACATGCTGGATAAAGGTACTATTGAAACTGAAGAATGTTTCATTTTGCAACCATTCAATGACAGTAATAGTGAAACTAAATTAGAAACATTGCCTATTTTGTTTGTCAGTAATATCATGTCTATGATATTGTTGGTGATATTATCTTAGTTTCTGTATTGTAAAATCTATATTTTATAGATTTTACAATTTATGCCAATCAACTATCAGAATAGAACAAGGAATATTTAATATTTACTCTATAAAATTTGAGTGTGTCTTTAGTGACATAGTGTTAATATGACATTTCAAATTGACTCACTATAGCAAACGGCACAACCACAAATGATATCTATAACATCATGTGAGAAAAATTGTAATAATTATATTGGATGTGTAGAAGGTTTTAGTTATATAATGTAGTTAGACGATGTATGTATAGGTTTAGCTCTTTTACCTTACCAAAGAGCCAAACTTGAATCTAGCATGATATGTTGATTCAAAATTTGTTAAGTATAAAAAAGAAATTATCTAAACAAAATTCTTCCTCTATAGGCTGTGGTGTAAAGGAACAAAATTGGTTGTGTCTACAATGTGGAGTTGTGAATTGTGGCCGTTATGTCAATGGTCATGCAAAGCAGCATGCAGAGGACTCGGACCATCAACTCTGTATGAGTTGTGATGTTTATTCAGTTTACTGGTAATTATTATGTTTATTTATTAACATTTTTTTTTGTTAATATTTAATGTTCTACCGGTGTACAAGGTTTTTCTCTATTAGAAGGATATCAACTTACTATTCCCTTAAAAATATGTCAATTCTAATTACGAGTAATTTTGTAACTTTATAATATAACTCTTCATTGTCTTAACTTTGTCTAGTTATAATTTAACAAGGTAGGTTTTCTACCAGGTCATCCATGTGAGTACCTTTGTCTTAGCTAGTACATCCAACAGGTAGCTTGTTTTGTAAGTTGAGGTTTGATTGTAGGATGAGTTTTGGCAGTAAAATACTCCTACAGTACTCTAGAATACACCTACATATAAAAAAAGTAGTGGTATTACAAAATTATTGGCAGACTAGAGTTTGGAGGAATTCTTAATTTTATTGTATCAAAAAAAAAATGAAATAATTATAAATTAATAATAATGTAATTGGACAAATAAATATTGTTTGTTTATGTACATTCTCAGCTATAAATGCGACGATTATGTGTCGAATGATACAGAACAGCAAACATTAGATAAAGTAAGGCAAAGTATTATGCAGAGTAGGAGAGACAACAATGATATTGATGCAAATAGTAATATTGAAGAAAATAGTAAAGATGGCAGTGAAGGTGGAAATAGCTCTGTATCCAACACTTCAGTTGCTCCCAGTGAGAAGCCTTTACAGTCCCCCAACAGCATCAAAGACGAAAGTAGACCCTTGGGGGCGATTGCAAACAATTCATTTAGTGACATGTCACAGGAAATTGATGAAAGCAAACCAACTAAAAACATGAAGGTTAGTGTTACAAGCAATTACTTAATATTGTGTATATGAAAAGGCCGGATAATATAATATATCCAAAATTCACTTACACATACTTAAATTTAAATTCATAAAAAGTATTTAAAGGATACAATTCATTTTTAAAGTTGGTTAAAAACCAGATTTAAAAATATGAGATATTTTTTTTTACTCTCTTCTATATAATTAATATATAAATCAAAACAGTTGTTTCTTTCAACACATTGTTGATATTACTAGTTTTGTAACAGTCAAATTTAAACTTCATTACTTATCTTGCGTTACAGAGTACTGATGACCCAGTGCGTAGTTTAAGACCACGCTCTCGCAAACGATCACATTCAGAAGAAAGCAATTCAACAGATTATAATACATCGCACGCAACTAGGAATAAGGAAAAGAAAGTGTCCCCATGCAATGGGAAAAGTCAGAGAGAGAAGAAAATTGTAGGTTTAAAAAATTTAGGCAATACATGTTTCATGAATGCTGTGCTTCAGAGTTTGAATAATATTCAAGAGTTTAGTTGCTACTTCAGCCAACTGCCGACTCTCGAGATGAAGACGAATGGCCGCAAGGTGTACCATTCGAGAAGCTATACGCGGCAGGAGATGCACGATGTCCTCATGGCTGAGGAACTGAGAAAGGTTAGTCTTTTTAATGGATGATATTGGAGTTGGCAGTCTACCAGTGGAAGATGTTAGAATGAGCATGAAGTTAGATCAGTTAGTCCATCCTGCTGGATTAAACAGAAATTAACCAGAATAGTTACCAGGGAGTACTGCAACCCTAGTCTACCTAATAAGATACATTGATAAGACTGGAGTCACTAGTTACCATTGCTTAGAAAAGTCCTTTTTTTCCCGCCAATGGTGGTTACCATTGGCGGGAAAAATTAACCAATTGGCAACAGTTTTATTAATAAATGTATTAATATTTTATTATTATCATTGTATGTATTCAACAAAAATTAATTACAGCTTATAAATATCAAATTTACAAAGTCCGGCCTAAAATTGTAGATTAACTAACACTTTCTAATTAATTACAAATTGAAGACATTATTCTGTAAATTAACTAAGAAGTGTTAAAGAGTTATATCAAGTTAAATTAATAATAATAATATCTCAAGACAATTTACACAGCAGTATCTAGTCTCAGCTAAGCAGAGCTTGTTTTATGTGTAGTAGACAACTGATATAAATATATTTTTTTTGTATATAAAGACATATTATACATAGAAAACACCCAGACTGATACAAACAATAATACTCATGAATACAAATGTATGTACCGTGCGAAGAATCGAACCATACATGCGTATATAATATGTATAATATAATAAAACTATTATTTTGAAATATATTTAAATTATATATTTAAATTATATATTTAAATATATTAAATAATTCATTATAATTTGAATTGCAGGTATTAATAAATTTGAATAGTGGTTGTGGCTCCAAGGCAGCCATTTCACCGGAGTGTTTGTTCCTGGTCATTTGGAAGGTGGTCCCCAGGTTCCGTGGCTACCAACAACAGGATGCGCATGAATTTCTACGTTATATGCTTGATCGGTAAATATTTTTTTCTATATCATACTTTACATGATCCCTCATGTAAAGTATGATATAAGCTTGGAATTAAACAAAATAAATTTGATTAATATTTCTGCTCTAGAAAAGAATATACCAACTCAATTAATTGTTCGCGCCAATTCGCTAAATAAAGGTAAAAATAATATTAAATAGGCATCGACTTACGCGTGGCGTGGGGTGTTGTCTAGAAACATCGCGCACGCCGCGTCGTATGGCGTTTACCACCACCAATGGGAACACGTTGCGTCGGATGTTCATAGTGTGGTCTGTAGAAAATAATGCAATTTGATTCTACTCAACACGCGTCGCGTTTTAATAATGTGTTTCTGCCTTTACGGTCTTTTATCGTAAGTCTGGATGTTATTGTATTCAAAGGAAATGAGTTATATCATTGTTGCACAGCTTGCACACTGAGCTACTGCAACTTCTGCCGCCGGATCGCGCGGAAAGCGGTTTCGTGTCTAGAACGCCTGCTGCTGCCTCTATAGTGACGGCTGTGTTTGGTGGCACGTTACAAAGTGAGGTATGTATAAAAGTAGAAATTTGCATTAAATATCATCATATAATAATGATATATCTAAGTCAATTGTCATCATAAATAAAGTTATTTTTTGGATTCGAAAAAAAAAAAACATTATTAATATATAATTACCCTTATAATATAGGTGCCAATAAATTTCTGAGAATACTGTAATTGTGAAGATTTGGTCCAAAAATCTTGGTATTTGTAGAACAAATATTGATTTGACAGTATTATTATAGTAATATTATTAATGAAATGAATGGAGACCAATCATACCCATTTAACAAAAATGTATACTGTATTTGTTTTCAATTGTCGGTACTGAAATAGTTCTTTCATGTAATTATGGTTTATTATTACTACGAACCTGTATTAATAGAATAAATGATTGTTACATATTTTTGGTCCTTCGATCTGGATTAAAGATATAGTACACCTTTCATTGGATTATGTTTGGTAAATGAATTAATAATTATGTATCGCGATTATGAAATTAAATATGATGTTCATGAAACATCTCACAGTACATATTTATGATATTAAAGTATTGTATATAATATGTAGTATTGTTCTTCAAATGTATTTTTTTTATTGGGTTGTTTGGGCTATCGTCAGATTTTTGTAGCCCCTGTAGCACTGCGACCTACATAGATGTATTGTGCTCGCCCTTTTTCAAAGTTCGCTGCCTAGACCCGTCAGGGACAAAAATTGAAGGATATTCTTAGGAGCAATGGTTTTTATCTCCTTGGGAAAGAGTGTAACCTTTCCAAAGGAGATATTTCGTTTATGCATGAGTGGGCTACAACCACATAGGATGTGTAGTGGCGTTTCCTCTTCAATTTGGCAGAATCTTCAAATGTAAGAACGATGCTCTATGTGGCTGTTTGTCGACTATCGTATGTCTCTTAAATAAATGACCCAAGGATATAGTCAATTGTGTGCGTTGTAGGTGCGGTGCCTAGCCTGCGGGTCAGAAAGTAAGAAGTTCGACCCGTTCTTGGATTTGTCACTGGAGCTGCCGGAGGCCGGTCGACATGAGGCACCCGTCGCCCTCGCCGACTGCCTTGCTAGCTTCGTACAGGTAACCTTGCATATAGCGAATACGAGGATTGTTAGTATAGCTAGTCCTTATTGCTAACAATCATTTTTACTCAAAACCAGGGTTGTTTTAAATTTTTCATGATGTGCCAAGTTTGTGGTGTTTCAAGCCATTTTAGGCTTGTTTGTTACCACATAGATATATAAAAAAAAATATTTGGCAATGACCCTAATTTAATAATGATTATGTACACTCATAATGAACTTCACCACATGTACATTCGGTGGGGGGCTTGGTGTTCTGTATTACAGGTTATACCTATTTCAGACATTAGCTTCTAACAGCATATTGATTGTAATAATAAAATAATTATATTTCGCAAATATTACATAGATAGTCGTCGTTCTAAATGCGGAAGCATTTATTCATTAGCCTATAATAATATTTATTTATTAGCCTGACGGATACGACTTGTGACATCGTACACTTCTTGTATAGATTGACAAGGATAGAAAGTAGCTTCTGCTGCCTGTGTCCATTACAAATACTAAAAAGACACAAATTAACTTTCACATTTACGAGTAAGAATTTCCCAGTTTGACCCGCGTAATTTCGTCTGCGTCATATTGTCCCCGTTTTTGCAATATTTTTAATGTAACTTCGCTTTTATTGGTTGCGTTTGTAGTGTAATGTTATATATATATATATATATATAGCCTTATGGTCTTCCTCAATAAATATGCAATCCAACACATATTATTCCAATAAAAAAAAATCTTAATTGTATCAGTAGTTGCCTCAAACATCCAATCTCATAAAATTTACCTTTTTATAATATTAGTATAGATTTTTTTCTAATTATAGTTATTTTATTTGCATTAGGTTGAGGAGTTAGCAGACACGGAACGCTATTTCTGTAGCAGCTGCAAGTGCAAACAGAAATCAACCAAACAGTTCTGGATCCGTAGACTACCAAATGTCTTGTGTTTGCATCTGAAGAGATTCCGGTGGCATAATTATTTCAGGTTAACATTTACATTGATTGTCATTGTTATCAATAATAATTATCAAAATGTAGTGTAATTCTATTGAAAATGGCAAATCGTAAGATACGGTATTCTGTATTGTACGATTTGCTATTTTCAATAAAATTGACATTTGATTTGAAAACACATTTACTTAAAAAGTAATAGATGCTTAAGGACTTTAGTAGGGAAAGAGAGGACATGTAATGAAAATAATATATAAGGAGATAGATATCTTGGCAATATTAGTAGCACTAGATAGCCATATATATATTTGTGAGGTTGACAAGAAACATTATTCTAAAAGATGGTAGTGAGGTCGTCACATATGTACATTGCATTTGAATTCAGCGACATTGAGTTGCATTTTCCACAACATTCACAGTGTTTCTAACTATCTTTTATAATATTACAGTCGTGAAGATGTATATTTATTTTAATTTTGGAAATATTGTATTAAAGGTATCGTTTGTGTTGCAGAACTAAGGTGGATACCCGCATATCGTTCCCATTGCGCTCACTAGACGTGTCAGCGTTCGCGGCGGGCGGCAGTAGTGGCAGTCGTACACACGGGCTTTACGATCTGGCCGCCGTTATTGTGCACCATGGTTCTGGGTAATTGATACATTTATTTTACTTTACATAGTTTCAAACTATATTTGAAGACCTCCCAATAAACAATTGAAAAGAAACTTGCACAAAGAAAAGTGTATGTCAGCATTTGCAAACAATTCGACTAACAGTACTTCAGTCAATACTGGATTTTGCGCAAGTCATCTACACTCAGCTCCTTGCTAGTTATTGACACAAGAATTAGGATATTTGTGTCAAAATACATATTTGTGGTCCTTCGAGCCGGACGGCCAGTTAATAAGGGAAGTCAATTAAAAGTTATAGTACAATGTAAATAAACTAAACTCTTTACTTAGGGCTGGATCCGGGCACTACACGGCGTTTGCAATCAACGAAGAACAATGGTTTCACTTCAATGACCAGACGGTCCGGCCTGCGGATGCGGCCGCGGTGGCGGCGTGTAAGCCCTATATCCTGTTTTACATCCGACGGGAGCCGTCACTGCCGACCGCCTCGTGACGCCCGTACAAGCCAGCTCGCGGGTGCATCTGTAACAGAAATGCGCTCCAGTAAGTTTTAATGTACAGTGCCACTAGTCCTAGACTAGACTACTAATTGGAGGTACCCACGAAGACAATTCTGTAAAAAGTCTAACTCATTAAAATCATATCCACAACATATGGAAAAAGAAACACTGGTCATTTAAAAAAAGACTCACATTGACTGTTAAAACGATTTCTTTGTTCAGCACATAAAACAAAAATATTGTTACTGAATTTGCTATTACTGATCAGACATATTCATTCGCATTATTTAGTATTAGGTTAGCTGTATGGTTTATTGATATTTTGTATGGAATTTCGTTTGTTAATGGGGACGCTGTTCTTCTTTTACAGATCAGCAACACAGGCGGATGAGAACAACGCGTATTTATTTGTCAAGAAATGACCGACACCAAAGCGTTTATGATTTATCTCTGTGCTCGCATGGGGTTGATTATTGTAGCTGATAGTTTTTCATTCACTGACAAGCGAATAGACTCTGACATATAATATAATACATACTTGTGTAGAAACGAAACACTTCAGAGTAATTCTATTGCGAACAAAGGACAAGGCCAGTATTCCTTAATAATGTTAACCTTTCTACTCAGGCAATATTTTTTTATATGCAATCTAAAAGTATTAGATTCGAAACTTGGAATGTAAAATTACTACTTTGAAAGAGGTTTAAAAAATCGATAAAATTAGAAAACAATTTAGGTAGTCCTAGAAAGTAATATGCATAGTACAATTTAATCGATTTTATAAGATTTATCTTCAGAATTATGTAATTTTTATTTCCTATATTTTCAGTTAATTATTTTTCTAAATATGCGCTAAGGGTTTGAAAGGTAACTATATATTATAATATATTATTCTTTTGAAGGACAATTGGGTAGGCTTGCATTTAGTTTATAAAATAATAGGATTGTCTTCAATTCATTTATAACATGTAATTGTGAATGCAATAAATTATTGAGTATGTATCGAATTTAAGTTTCATGGAAAACAAGTAATTGAGATTCTGAAACTACCTCTTAATGTGTGTGAATTTTTTAATACAAAGTAATAAATAAAAAATAATATAAATATCCAAGTAATAAACAGTGGTGCTTGCATAGATCACTGCTCTACAAAAATTTTGTGATCACCATCTATTTCTATCTATATATCATCCAAATGGCTTGATTGAAAGTTTTTAGTGCATTTATTTTCAACGATTATTGTATTCTTATGTTCTATGGAGGTAGCTAAAATAATTGTCATGAATGTTTATTTAAGTCAAACTTAATTATTCCTAAAGTTAAAAGTAAGAATACCTGTTTCAATTAGTAAGCACTGATCATCTGAATCATGATATCCTGGCGAATGTAATCCTGTGACTCAGAGGCTTTGTCAACCGTCGACAATGGGTTGAACACAACTTACGATTGCCCACATTTGATCAGTATTTTACATAATATCAGTGAATTTGTTCTCGCAATATTCCTAATGAATGTTTTCATGTGATAATGCGTGCGTAACCTTCATATTGAAATCACTCAGTGTAATTATGCTTTATGATTATGATCCACAATTAGTATATATAACTGTACCTCATGTAGCACTGTTGGCTTCATTGACAGATCTTAAAAATAAGTTGTAAGTTAAATGATGAATACTCATATAAAAATAATTGACAGACGTTGACGAGTCATTAATATTTAGATTTGAGCTTATCCAAATAAGCAATATGCATGAAATTCAATTTCAAATGTACTTCAACTATTTATATACCTAATGTGTGATAATGAGTTATTTGTAATGCGATGCGTTTGAATACAATTATAATAGGGTTAACGGTAGGAAAGGAGTATTTGTGAATAGAGGATAAGTTCGCGCAAGTTCATATTTACATACATATATTACATTCCTATAACAAATTATGGGTTTACTATGAATTTATTTTCCACTGCATTATACAATGCGAAACGAGACACCAGTTTTGTGTAAACAATGTGATAGTATAAATCATGTACATAATGATGATTTGAAATGTGTCGTATTTTCTTTTTAAGTACCTAAGTTGAATAGCAAGTTTATTTTGTTTAAGTACTTCAATTACTGGAAGTTGATAGTGATTGAATTTAATAAATTCGCCAATATAAATACCATACATGTAGTTTTATTTAAATTTATGCTTCAACTATAAATCATACATGCAAAATCTAACTAATTACAGCATCGATAACATCGAAATAACCTACTAAAACAAGAACTATCTTCTAATGAATCTATTTCTAAAGAAAAATTTAAGGAAGTCACACTATCAACTATTGGTATGTATTCAGACCATTCTGCAGGTTTTAAAAGAGACATATTATTAATCCATAACTTAGAACCACCATTAATTTCATTTGAATTTTTGTCTGATGAAATATTTCCTACATTTATACTCTCTAAATTTGATTCATTTTGCTTAGTTTTCAATGCTAATTTATCGTCTAGAATCCAATTATCGCTATTAAGTTTCTCTATGGGATCTGTAATATGAGAATGTTTTATATATTTCGACGAACAACATTTTATATGAGGCTTTCGTAGATGTTTGTTTTCAACATGGTCGCCTCTATCCTCCACATAATATCTCTCTAAATTAATATTTTCAATGTTATTTATTTCATTTATTAATATTCTCTCAGCTGTATAGGTACTAGATTGTTTTATCGAAGACTCCATATCACTATAATCAATATTTTTTTTTGTTTTGTTGGTAATCTCAGGGATTTTTTTGGATACTTGAGCAAGATGTGCATGAGAAACAGTATTTTTGAAAGTTCGTCGTTTTTGTCTTGGCGATAAAGCCATCCAGTTTAGTATGTTGGATTTTTCTAAACTCTCTTCGTTGTGAATTACTTTTTCCTCCATACATATTTTGATATCAGTAAACCAGTTGTTTACGATTTTTTTCCTGAGATTACAATCAGACTTTAAAGTTTCGTTCGACGGATGCGTTGATTCATTAATTTCCGTGACAGTAGGCAAGGATGGTGGTATCGAAAAGTTCAACCTTGGGACGTATGTTTCAGGAATTGGTGTAGGAATTCTGGAAGAATTTACAATTCTGTCCTTTGTGTTATCACCTATATTTTCGATGGAACTTGATGTGGAACTACACTCTTTACTAGAAATTTTCATTATTTCGACGTCTGTGTCTGAGAATAGATGATGGTTTTTATAAGAATATATCAATATTGTATGTTTATCAGTATCCATATTTGCATCATATGTGAGTACTTCATCGTAGGAAGAATTTTTATTGCCATTGCATTCATAATGTAAGGTATCATTATGATTTTGATCGTCATTATATATTTCGCTATCTGTTGAAGAACAATCCGCAAGATGCTTATTAATAATAGTAAAGCAGTTAATTTGACCATTTGCTCTCTTTTTATAGTTCCTGTTATTATTACTGAATCCAGTATGCACTAAGGTTGCTACATCCTCTTCTGAATTTGCAGATAATATTTTGATTTTGTTTTTTAAACGTCTCTTTTCTTTAGCTTTATTATTTACTTTATATTCTCCTTCAAAATCAGCCGTCCGGAACGGGTCGTTGTTAACATAATTCCAGGTATGATTGAACGTATTTTGATCATATTTTAGAACGTCTGATTCATTCAAGTCTAATTCAGTTATCTGCATAATATTTGCATTAGGTTCATGTAACCAGATTTGGTCTACAACAACATCTTCCTTTCCATTTGCTTCTTTGCAATATTGGTCCTTACCTGTAAGAAATAATGTGTTAGTAACATTTGATTTCTACTGTTGCTAGTACTATTTTATTAATTTAATAGAAATAATATTTACAGTTAATATTCCTTTGCACAACAGTTTTTCTCATAATTCTGTTTATACAATGTATGTTGAATCATTCAATGGACCATTCAATTGACGTTGTGAGTCGTGTCAAATATGAAGTAAAATGGTTTGACTTAAAAATCAAACGCATACTACACACTTTTTTAAAAGAACATCAAATGAAACTTGGATTGATATAAAAATATACCTATCCCTATTTCGCATGGTCACGGATATCTACGCGTGAACGGCTGGACCGATTTCGCTAATTCTGTTTTGTTGTGTTTGTTATTCTTAGAAGAAGGTTCTTATGAAAGAAAAAAAAAGTTGCCAATGTGAATTCAATATACCTAGGTAATACAGGACAACATCCGTCGAGTTAGCTAGCTTATTTTAAATATTTGTGTATTTACCTACTGATTTATTTATACAGGTATCTTAAACATCAATCTACGTTAATAAAATAAAAATTGATTGTATATCTGAAGAAAGAGTTATCAGAAACATGCCTGAGAACAGAGACTAAATAAAATTCGACGTGATCAAACCCCTTGGAAACAGATAGGTATAAACTAATATTAAAAATGTGAAAGTACCTACTCGTGCTGGTTAAGATTGTGACTCAATAATGTTTAATATAATTTGACACAATTCATAATTTGATAGGTTTCCTATGATTTTATGTTGATGGATTTTTGATGGTTGGATTAGATAAAAAACAGTTGAATGAATATAACGTACATTTTTATGGCAAACACATAGAAGAGACCAACCCCAAGCGGTACAAAAGTGAACTATCGATTACAACATCCTATACTACTATTTAAATTCAGTAAAAATTATATATGATATATTTTTACCGAATTTAAGTAGATTCATTCATCAAAACCTTGGAATTCACCTAGGAAACTGTAAAAAGTCTACTGTATACCTAAGTACCTACATCGGTGTCACCTATTTCAGCCACCAAGCTTACTTTGTATACCTACTGTGTTCCGGTTATAGGGAAAGAATTTATAGATATAGATTAGGCACTGAAATTACGGGATAGAGACAATCCTCAGGAATAGCAATACAAGATAGTGGTATCAAGAGTTTATTATATATGTTAATTATAAGTTTCCTATATAGGTACATTCCATAATTTACGGTAGATAGGTACTTAGTAGGTGGTAAAGTTCACACAGCATAACAATTATGACCCTGTTGGATCCCCAACAGAATGTCTCTTTCTTCTCTTCTGCTTGCAAGCAGAAGAGAAGAAAGAGACATTCGCCGTGTCGTATCATGTATCACATCATCATCATTACATACCTAGTATAAAACAAAGACGCTGTCGCTGTCTATCCCTATGTATGCTTAGATCTTTAAAACTATGAATTTTGAAGCGGTTTTTTTTAAATAGATAGAGTGATTCAAGAGGAAGGTTTATATATATATAATACATATACACCCGTGCGAAGCCGGGGCGAGTAGCTCGTATTTTATATACGATAAAAGAAACATCTAAAGTTATTGAGTGTAAATTTAGTTGTCGGTAAAAGCGTGTCGCAGCGGTGACGGTAGTGGGAATGCGAAGGCGGGTAGTGCCAGTGTTGGCGAAACAAAGTGTAAATGGATTGATTGCGCCAATTCCGCCTCACAAAGGGCGGCAAATTGCATTAAAAGCTCCGTGGCTCGCGCCATTTGGCAAAGCACTTACTCCATTAGACGTCCTTAGTGTGTTATTCAAGTGTTCTTGTATACTCGCGCCAACAATAGAGATGTAGGTGTTGTCTTAGTTGTGATAGCCTTTTTCAAGTAAATGAAATTGAAATCCGGATATTTAGGTAGGTTTATATTACCACTACTAAGAAATCGTTTTGTGAAGAGGGAAGAAAATGATACGTACCCAATACCTTATATTGTAGGTTCGATTTCATTAGGTATTACATTCCGTTTTTATGTAAATAGTGTCATTAGTGAACAATAGATTATAGTACAAATGTTTTCATGTTAATTTTGAAACCAGTAGATAATCTTACAAATTTTATTTATTAATGTGAAAGTGTATCGCGATTGGACGGCTGATAGAATCCTAATGATATTTGGTTTTATGATTTTTTTTTATACAAAAGCATAGGAAGGCGAAAAAGAACATAATAATGAAGTAATGTATTTTCACTAATTGGTATCTATCATCACTAAAATTAGAATTGTGATCTTCCTGTACAATAATAAAGAGAATATATTCCTTAATCAGTAGCCTAATTAAGGAATATATTCTCTTTATTATGGTATGTACCTACCTATCTAGGTAAATTATAATATGTATTTTATACAACAGTATTTGTAGACTGTATAATGTTTTCGATACGGTAGAAAATTCACAGACGTGAGCAAGCAGCGCGCGGGCGCGGCGTTCGGCGCTGCGCGACAAAGGTAATTAATTAGATCAAGTGCGCTCGAGTGGCCGGGCGTTCATTCCGCGACTAATTCGCAAATTAGCCGCTGACAAAGCGGCCTTTATTCGCTCCATTACTGTACTGATGTGTATCATCTCTCAATTTCACTTAATTTCTACTTGATTATATACTGTCTGCTTGGTTTCGCTGTTACGCGTCGGATGGAGCGCTGTAAATTAACTTAAAAGCACGGTATCTTGAAATGGGTATTAATTTTATTATTTAACAATTGACAATATATCACAGAAATTGAGAAGTAATGTATAAATAATTATATATTCATGCTTTATTTCAAATTTTGGGGTAGGTAGGTACATCGAGGAAGAAACTATATTTCACTACTACTATATTTCAGCCGCTTGAAATATAGGTATAACCTATGTGGTATTCTAATTTATAAGCTGTATTACTGAAAATCCTGTTGCTGTTTTCATCAAAATCCGTTCAGTAGTTTTTGCGTGAAAGGGTATCTAATTAAAATCCATTTATCCATCTATCCATGCATCCATACTTACAAACTTTCCCGTTTATATAAGTAGGTATTAATAATTAATAGGATATACATAACAACGATATCAAAATATAATAGGTGCATATAGGCATGTTTAGTACCTAATTACTTATCAGTAGCTAATTGTATTAATTATAGGTACCTAAAGTTTCATGAAGTGGGTAGGTATAGATAGATATATTATTAAATGTAATTAGTATATACTTAATGGTTCGATTCTCTAAAGTAAGTACTTACAAGTATATCAAGCAGAAATCTAAAATAAATATCTACCTACCAAAAAAAACGTTCTCATGCAAGCGAAAAGTTTGCCTGACAATCCATCCGTCAGATGAGAACAAACAATATAGCGGCGTTCACAACATACAATATAAATATAAAAATATTTTTAATTGTTTTTAGAGATAGAAAAAATATAGTAATCTATTATTAGCGGGCTACAAAGCTGTATATTTGCTTAATGGAAGAGTGTTCGAGATAAAAGCTCGCGCTATCGGACGGATCTCGGCATAATTAGAGGGGCTGCCAGCGCCTCTTCCTTTACATGCCACTTAAAACTACACTGTAGTGCCTTCCTACACGAACACGACATTATCTTATTATGTAAAGCGTGAATGAACGAGTGAGATAATTGCTGTGGCTGTAAATATTTACACCTATACGTGGTTTAGATTAATGTTCTGTAGTGTTACTGCACTAGGTATTTATAGTAAATTAAAAACAAGTAGATATGTATGTTACATGAATCTATTATATCCTTCTTTATGTCTTGATCCTTCTTTATCTTTCTTTAGTTTATGATGATTACCTATCTATACCTAAGTTTCAGTCACTGAAAAGTATATTTATCCATTTATTAAGATATCTAAAATAACGATTTTAGTAGGTACCTATTTCGAAACAGTGATATTGTGAACATGGCCATATATTTTATACATCATGATAACCTTAGGTATACATTACAAACTGTTGAGTGATACTGATAATGTACAAGTTTAGGGAGAAGGGATTGTTAGTAGTAATATGGACTGTTAACCACTACTAGCAATGTACCATGTTAGGTTGACTTCCACGCGATTCCCCCTGGAAACCATCACGATAAATTCTTGGAGAATTTGTGAAAATGGGCTAACTGAACTGACTTCATGCTCATCCTATCATCCTTCACTGGAACCTCACCAGGGGCATATTATCCATTAAAGAAATGTATAAGTTTTTACTTATGGTTGATCCTACTCAATGTAACCGTTTATAATTATGGCAACAAATATATAATAAATGAGTAATTTTAAGTTTACACATGTGTGCTCTAACCCTCGCTTTCACCACTACTGGAATATGATTGACTGTGATAAAAGGCCTGTCTCATATTCTATCCCAAACAATACGTCTGTGTACTAAAATGTACATAGGTTAATTAGTTGTGCCGCTGAATCACCAGGAAATAAGAAACAACTAAGTAGACACTAGATTTTATATTTACATTGTTAGGATAAGGAGTATCCATCTTACTAATGCATCAATTTATGATTAATTTTACAAAGAAACTTAATGTATATCAGACAAATTGTTCCCCTAATAGTTAATTGTTTTGCTTTTAGTGAAATTACTCTATAAATATTCAGTAAGAAGGCAAAAAACACTTAATAACCCACTATCGGTGTGGTAATTGCTAGGAACTTATGCATTAGTATTGGTCACATTCGGTAACGAAAATAACGGTCAAAGTTCACTTGTAATTCACGTAATTACAATGTGCACACCATTAGTGTTTAATATTTCAAATAATTTATTATAAATGTGAGAACAGTTGTTTGTGTGGGTATTTCTGTCTCATCTGATTTCCCTGCTAAGTTCCTAAGTACATAGGTAGTTTTATTGCGAAATACAGCTTGTATTTCGTTTTCTAGAGTGAGTAGCCCAGTAAATACACGGACACATAACGTCTCATAATAAGGCAAAGAAATCTAATTATATTTTATTCTCATCCTATTCTCATTCAATGGTGCCTCCAACCATCTATATATAAGCAACACAATATTTTTTCACTTCCATTAAGACTAGGCTAATAATTTAAAGTATTTTTTTTATAAAATACAGTTTTGAGACAATGTCAAATTGAAAAAGTTGTCAATCGGGCG